GTGAGAATTTGACACATTATTATCATTTAATTGCACAAATAATTTCATTTCCGGTTCACAAATAGAAGTCAAAACATATTTTATCTTAAATTTTACATTTAAATTAAACTAATTGTTTAATCAATTGAGTAATTCTAGTTGATAATTGTATTAAAAAATAGTTTTATGATATATAGCCGTAATCAAAATGACTAACTTGTAAATATAATATTCTGCTAACTTGAAAACTAATTAAATAAATAATAAATAGGTTTAATAATAGAAATATAAAGTGTTGTATGAATTGAAGTGTGAATTGTGTGATAATCAATAAATAGCATCATGTGTTCAAATACCCGATTAGAACCGTTTTCCATAACTATTCACTATTTTCTTATGTTATGTAAAGATTAAAAAACTTTGTCTATACCTGGAGAAGCGCCAGGTGATGCCATTCCCCTAATCAGACATAAGCACAATACACTAACTCCAGTTCCAACTCAATAAAATGCGTCAAAAAGATATTATTTTGAAACCTAAGAGTGTAGTCACACATGAAAATCATCAATAATTTCCCATCGAATGCAATACTATTATAACGTTATAACGCTATACAGTACACAATACCATAATACAGCAAATGTATCATACAATGCATTGTTTGCTAAATATTTTATATGCAATTCTGTTAATCAGGATTTGAATTATTCGGAAATGAATTTCATTCAAATTGTTTCATAATTACAAGAAATTGACTCATATTTTAGGTATTAAAAACATTTCTTACAAATTGTTTACCAATTAGTTATACAGTACAGTTAAATAAAAAAATTATTTTTCTATATTTAATAAAAGTTGAATATACGTAACATGTTATGTTTTAATGCAGTATGATTCCAATAATATCATATTATAAATAAATTATATTAAATAACTAAATTATTTAAAGCATACAACAGAATTTTGAAATTCAATATCAATAAATTTCTGTATTTTAAGTACAGTAGTATAATGCAAAACAAGATATACAATACAATATATAACACAATAATTTTATGTTAAATTAAAATATTATTTAATAATAGTTTTAATTTTAATTATACACTTATAATTTCTATTTAAAATAATTAAAGTTTATAAAATAAAGAAATAAATGGAATTTAATACTATTATACAGTATATAATATATATAATATTATTATACTATTTTATACAGTGATATTTCTATACTGTTCATTAATGTTTTACCGATTATACTGTATATATTTATTTCATTGAATACAAATCTTGGAAATAACGATATGTTTCTACGATATATTTTATTTTATTATTTTATTTTATTAAAATATTTATTCTATAAATTATTTTATTTGGTGTATAAAGGATTTTGATAATTATTAGAAATGTTTTAATAAGAATTAGTCTAGTTAAAATTCAAATTAGATCAGTTATAATTTTTATTTTCAATAGACCCATAAACATAAATATTTTATACTCTTAATACTTATGTTTTAAGGAATCATTTATACCGTATTTATAGAATACAAGTTTGACCTGAGTATATTTTTTATTTACAATTTATATACTGTACTGTACAGTATAATAAATTAAAGCTTAACATTATTTAAAATATAAATCCAATTATAAATATATTAAAAGCAAAGACTTAATGACTTTTCACTCCTATTGTTAACATGAATTGATTTTTGGTGCGAATATAAGCACACATTCTGTGAATTATTCGTATAGTAATCGCTAATTTTATTACCTGCCAGTGCTAACACACCAGCCAGTGCTAACCAGTTGTGCTAAAACAGTATTTAAACACATATTTTCTAGCGATTGAGACTTTGGTTTGAGAGTTAAGCTGAGAGGCAGAGAAAAGTGAAGATATTTTGCACTTTCTATTAATCGACTCATAACACACACCAACAGCAGCTCAAGTGACGGTCCTGTGCCTCCTGTGCCAACTCGATAAGAGGTCGGCCACGAGCATGGCTTTCATGATAAGAGATGCACACATATTGTCTGTGATGCCTGTGCTCTCTCTGCTACCACTGCTACCGGTGTCACTCATATATAGAGCACAGCATTGAATACACATCCACTTTCATGGCACCGATGCAACCATGCAACTGATCCCCACTAATGTTATATCATTATAGCACAGACATATAGACAGCCTTTCTATAGACTATCACTTATAACTTATAGACCATTAATGGATTTCTTTTTAATTAATCGTTTGCTTACAATCTTTTTTATTAATTATAATTCTTTATATTTTATACATCAAATGGTATATTATTCTGTAAAAAATATATTCTTGTTGTGCAATTTTATAATAAAAACTACTGATTAATCAAAAGTAAAAATAATAAAACAAAAAACCAAGTTTTGCCATTCTTATTGCATAGTTTAAATGATAATTATTAGAATCGATTTATGTTTTTATAATTATTTTCTTAAGACTAAGTACTGTACATACCATAGTTTAAGCTCATAAAATTCTCAATTTTAAGTATTTTACCAATTTTAAATTCTAAATTCAAAGTTATTAGCTTATATGATAATTATACAAATTTTAAAAAATATTTACTGTTAAATATTTTATTCATTAATAATAATAATTATTATTATCGTATTAAACATACTACTGTAAAGTAGAATTGGCCTATCTGGAATGCACAAGTTGTTGAATATACTTTTATTACCATCAAAGTTATCTAAAAGGTTACTGGAATAATACAGTATCACTATAATACTTATTAAACATAAGCATAATATTATAAATTAAATTATGTTGAAATTATAATCATTTAAAATTTTAATTGTATGACATTAGTAACATAATTATACAAATTTATGCAAAACATAATTAAGCTAGAATATAATATTCTGTCTATATTTTTAATTTCAAAACTTAATTGACTAATGTTAAAATAATCTGAATTAAAAACTTTTTAAAAGTTTACAAAAATATTGATTAAATTTAATATGTTGTCGATCATGATAAAATAATTATACCGGTACATTAATTCTATAAATAAAATAAATATTAATAAAATTACTGTATTAATTTATAAAATTGTTCAATTAATACATTTTTGTTGTTGTAATTATAACAAATGTTCTGTATAATAGATATTTCATTATTTTAATTATGTCTCAATTTGCACACTATCATTCAGTATAACATAGCATTTGTTAATCATTATCAAAAGGCACATTAAATTTAAATAATCATAAGACCAGGTTTCAATTCCCTAGCTTTAAAACTTATTAATCAAACACGAAATCCTTTTAGTTGAATTTAGAAAGAAATTATAACTTGTTTAGAATTAATTTATACTGCAGAATATTATAATAACTAGCTTATTACTAGGGGATAAAATTTAAAAATTCCACTTTAACCGAGAATATTTTATACGAAAATTCTTAACCAATGTAATCCAAGTGAACACCAATTTATATATTGTTTCATATTTGTATAAAATATTTATACCGGTAGAAAGCATTTGATTATATGTTTAATATTTTTAATGTAAATGTTTAGTTATTTGTAAAAATAATTGAAAAAATATCAGATTTAAGCACAATATAAGTATATTTATTGAATTCAAAGTATTAAATAATTTGTGCGAAAAACAAAATTCATTAAAACAAAGACTAATGAAATGAATGATTATTTCTTAAACTTTTTAGAGCCCTTCTTATACTTCTTGGAGTTCTTGTGTTTCGCGGAACTCCTCTTCTTTTGTTTGGAGAACGAGAAGTCATTGGTGTCGTCGATGTCTAAAGCAGTGATGTCTTCGAAATGCGTGAGACTGGAGGCCATGGATGTCATGGACTGCATGCGTTTGGCTTCGTTTCGCTGCTTTTTCGTCAAATTCATTCGAGTCATGTATTCCTCTTCGAAGACTGTCTTGTCTTTCAAAAATCGATGCATTTTGGGGTTTGAATGCACAGAATGTGACACTTCTTCGGGTCGGACGTCGAACTCGTGTCTCAACTCAGATATAATGGAACTATTGATGGCTCTCTTCTTCGCTCTTTGCAATGCCTTCGCCTTCCGGTCGTCTTCGGCGTCGAACCGCATTTGTGCCACTTTTGGGGGGACATACAGACCACCACTTCCTCCACCACCAGCCCTTCCCCTCTCGCTGTCGCCCATCTCTTCCATACCGTCATTACTGTCCATATCATCATTTGGTCGCTCATTGTCTTCGGTTTGTTGGCCGCCTTTAGATCCGACGATAGAATTGAGGTGTGGTTTGAACCTCAAGGGGTCGTTGGGGTCAACGGTTCCATCGGTGGACGTCTTAATGAGTTTATCGAAAGTATATCTGAGTTTGTGTTCAATAGGTCTCATCCTCTCCAAGACAGTCCTGTGCTCTACTAGTCTTGAGATGACATCAGATCCCGACAACTGTTTGCCGGATATCTTCTTCAGCACTAAATACGTTAAATCCATGAGATATGAGAGAAAGACGCGGTTCTTGAGCTCAACAAAAGAGTTGCCGTTTTGTGTCAACAACTCGTTGTCTTTGAGTCTCAGGAGTAGATTGGATGCGATTTTGTGACAATTATTGGACTTCTCTTCAATCGATTTCAGCAAATGTATCGTTTCTTGCGATAGACTCGCCGTTTGGTCCATCGCTTCGTCCACTACTGTGTCCTCAACTGATCCCATCTTCTCATCCATTAAATGACAATCAAATCAATGACTGAATCAATGAATCACTCATTCATTACATGAACGCTAAACACGTTTCCATACAATCATTGCCACAGAAATGCAATGTTTTTGCCATCAATTATGTCTCACTTTATATTTGTACACATTTTGTTGTTTTATTCAAACTTATACCTAAATTTAATTATAAATAGATTTACTTCACGTAATATAGTTATGCTATAAATTAACTTAATATTGTAAAAATTAAATCAAAACAACCTTGATTGTTTGTTTGTTTGAATCCATTTGCTTACCACTGATTAGTGTTATATAAAGCGAACGTATATTATGAGAGAGTTATTGACAACACTTTGTGAGTCTTGGGATCAAATCAAACCAATTGTTACTATCATTGCATTAATTGGAGACAAACCATGAGTTCAACGAATCAAATGAATCGCAATGTCTTAGCGAAGAGACACAAATGGGCCATCAGTTTCACGCAGAAGTATGTCTGCATGTGTTACATGTATGGGATGTACTAATGGTGACAATGATAATTGTCTTGAAAATAGGCTGAAGAGTGAGAGGAGTGGAGACCTGCCGTCACCGCCGGGCTATAGCTGTCAGTCATCGCAACTTCACGGAGAGGCCAGTCGTGAGACCGACCACAACCTCATTGTGAAGAAGTCGTGGGACATCGCGTTGGGGCCCATGAAGCAGATCCCCATGAATTTGTTCATTATGTATATGTCCGGGAACTCCATCTCAATCTTCCCCATAATGATGGTCGGGATGCTGTTCCTCAGACCCATCAAAGCACTCATTCAAATCAATACAAGTAAGCCATTGATGGTGACGAGTGGTGTCTCATGTGTTTGTGTCTTCTTTGTGGACAGCATTCAAACTGATTGAAGGCAACCAATCGATTCTCCAGAAACTGATTTATTTGGTCGGAAACCTCCTGTGCGTGGCGTTAGCCCTCTATAAGTGTCAGTCAATGGGTTTATTGCCGTCTCATGCCAGCGATTGGCTCGACTTCATTGAACCGCCGCAGAGGATGGAGTACTCCGGCGGAGGCATCGCTTTCTAACCCCTATTTGTGTCATCACTTCTTCAGTATTTCATTTTCCAATTGATTTCTTCTAAACAATTCTCGTATAGATTTCTCTCGCCTTTCATTGCATACCAATTGATTGACATTTAATTGCATTATATCTCACGTATCGGACACTTATTGTACAAATGTTTTCAATCTGATTGTCAATGGAGTAAAACTATAACTAAATTATTTTATTTTATACTTATTCACCACTGAAGGGCTAATGAATGACAAATAATTTTAATCAAGTACTGTATACTCTTGAAAGTGGACACTACCGGTAAATGTAGGATATTTATAGTGACATGTTTAGTCTGGTACAAATACTTATGAATACAATTGTTAATACATTTGTTGCAATTAAATGCGAGTGGATTATAAATAGTTATTTACAGATATTTTCCTATATATTGAATACGATTTATAAATGATTTTAAAATAGTTTCAAAATTAGATTTTAATTTAGTTTAAAGATTATTAATTTATATGAATTTATGTACAAAATATAAACGAGTAATAAAGTGATTGTGAAATGATCTGAAAGGAAACGGCATTTCCTTTGCACCCGTAGTATATGTGTCGAGAGTTTTATTTATTCAGTTTAATTGATTTTAATGAATTTATGTACAAAATATAAACGAGTAATAAAGTGATTGTGAAATGATCTGAAAGGAAACGGCATTTCCTTTGCACCCGTAGTATATGTGTCGAGAGTTTTATTTATTCAGTTTAATTGATTTTCATTGCATTTTCATGACTGCATAAGCAATTCAATTAAATTATGTGTAATTTAATTGCAAATTAAATCAAATTGTAATTTAATTGTAATCACTGCAACTGAAATGACAGTACATTTGGTAACAGTGTTTATGAATGGTTGACATCACATGCAATGCAAATGTAAACACAAAAAGAGTTTCAAATGTGAGACCAATTGAGTGATGATTAATCGGATATGACATTCAGATTGGGATTAAGTGTGAGGTCGGCGTTAAGTGCATGTGATTTAGTGCACTGCAGAAGTCACGTATGGAGACAATGCCGGCGATTGAAGTCATCGCAGATTTGGTCCGACTTTTCGGACAACGAAGAGAACAATTCGAGACGAAGACATCAAATGGTGGTTCAGTCGGGCTTCGAGTCGGAGACGGAACAGATCACTGCACTTCTGCACGAGTTGTCCGACACTGACGGCCAGTCGTGGAGCCATTGGGAAGAAGAGGGCGAACCCACGATCCGAGGCGTGAAGACAAACGCCATTCCTTTGCGACGATTTAAAGAGAAGTCATTGTATGACCGGAAGAGACATTTCGTGGACTGGAAGCAAATCCAGTGTACGGCCGGAAAGGGCGGCGACGGTATGATCTGCTTTCTGAAGCTCTGGTGTAACGCAATGGCCGGTCCCAGTGGTGGCGATGGAGGCAATGGCGGACACGTTATCCTCGAAGCCGATCACCAGACGAAGTGTTTGTCGAATTTGTCGACACTCTTGAAGGCAGAGTCGGGCGAAAAGGGTATGTCTAAAGACATGAGCGGCAAAAATGGCGAGCATTTGGTGGTCAAAGTGCCGGTCGGGACACTCGTCAAGGATTATGAGACACAGAGACTGATCGCAGATCTCGATGTCAGCGGATCTAAGTTTATAGCAGCGCGTGGAGGACAGGGAGGGAAAGGCAACCATTACTTCCTGAACAACACTAACAGACATCCAGGAGTAGCAGAAGTAGGCGCCACCGGAGAGTCAAAGAGATGGACACTGGAGTTGAGGACAATGGCTCACTCGGGGTTAGTTGGCTTTCCCAACAGTGGAAAGTCGACTCTCTTGAGAGCCATATCGCGAGCCAAACCAAAAGTGGCGAACTATCCGTTCACTACATTGAACCCAATGGTGGGAATCGTTGAGTANGACAATGGCTCACTCGGGGTTAGTTGGCTTTCCCAACAGTGGAAAGTCGACTCTCTTGAGAGCCATATCGCGAGCCAAACCAAAAGTGGCGAACTATCCGTTCACTACATTGAACCCAATGGTGGGAATCGTTGAGTACTCGGATTACGAACAGTTAGCTGTGGCTGATCTGCCGGGCATTATATCGGGCGCTCATCTCAACAAAGGTTTAGGTATTTCCTTCCTGAGACACATCGAGCGCTGTGTTTGTCTTTTCTATGTCATTGACCTGACAGTGGATGAGCCCTACGAACAGCTCACGAGTCTTATGACAGAACTCGAGCACTACAAGAAAGGTCTGTCCAAAAGGCCTCACACTATAGTTGCCAATAAGATCGACGCTCCCGGCGCTCAACACAAACTCAAACTATTAAAAGAAAGTATAGGAGAAACCGATTTTCGTATAATTGCTATTTCCGCCAAATATGGCACTAATTTGACTGAATTGTTGAGATATTTTAGAGAGTTATATGATTTGTATAATTATGACGACAATGATAATCGTCTCGTTTGGTAAACCACTAGTTTTTGTTAAATGTGTATAATATATATAAAATACTTCATTATTTAATTAAAAATATAATTAGTGTTTTAAGTAACAAAATAAATAATCTCATGTCTGTAGAAAAATACAAAAATAACTACAAATAAAATCATTTGACACGAGATTTGAGAAACATTTGACACTTAAAAAAATTAGCGAACTCTTAGACTAGACAACAGATTTGTTTTGCTTAGATTTGATGAACAAATGAATGCTGTGGTCGCGAGTAGTCATAATTTGTTACTTGATTGACGTGATGTAAAGAAAGGTCTGTCCAAAAGGCCTCACACTATAGTTGCCAATAAGATCGACGCTCCCGGCGCTCAACACAAACTCAAACTATTAAAAGAAAGTATAGGAGAAACCGATTTTCGTATAATTGCTATTTCTGCCAAATATGGCACTAATTTGACTGAATTGTTGAGATATTTTAGAGAGTTATATGATTTGTATAATTATGACGACAATGATAATCGTCTCGTTTGGTAAAAACTAGTTTTTGTTAAATGTGTATAATATTTATAAAATACTTCATTATTTAATAAAAAATATAATTAGTGTTTTAAGTAACAAAATAAATAATCTCATGTCTCTAGAAAAATACAAAAATAACTACAAATAAAATCATTTGACACGAGATTTGAGAAAGATTTGACACTTAAAAAAATTAGCGAACTCTTAGACTAGACAACAGATTTGTTTTGCTTAGATTTGATGAACAAATGAATGCTGTGGTCGCGAGTAGTCATAATTTGTTACTTGATTGACGTGATGTATAACATAGTAGTCGTGATAATACATTAGTATACATAGCGGTTGTCCTATGATTAATGAGATCCAAACCGCTATATTCGCCGTTTGGTTGTTGAGGTATTTGGAGACAAACATTGAGAACGGGATTTGAGACAACATTCCGAAGAATGCCCACAATCTGAACATAGATAAGGGGACAGACACTAAGTATTCGTGAAAGAAAGCCGACAATAGGAATACGATGACCGATGCGTGAAATTTGTTGACTCCTCTGTTGATGAGTGGTTTATACAGATGTCGGACACACCACTTATGGACCGGCATATTCCAGTTCTTCCAGAAATAGTTAACAGACTCGGAGTTCCTATCGATTAGAAATATTTCAGATTAGTTACACAAAAAGAAAGCAAACAATTATTGAGCCATCCTTACCACCAGTCCTTATAGAACTCGCGGTCGGAAAAGCGAAGTATTTCGGCGATTGTGTTGAGACACGAGTGGAAAAACCAATAGAAGAATATTAACCAAATAATATGATTCGGAACCTATTGTCACAAATAAATAGATCAATTATAATCTACTTCATAGACCGATTGAAAGCAAATTGTGATTAACTGACCGCTAATTTAAGAAGTCTTTCCAACATCTTTGAGAAATGCATTTCTTGTAAAGGTTTAAGTGAGTTACTAATGGTTGGAACCATCCATTGCTGAATTAGTCCCAGATCCAATTGAAGTAAAAACAGCTAAACATGGATTAGATGAATATATACTGTATTTATTAACTTATTATAGAGTTATATGACTCACGATCTCGAGTATCCTTTTGATAAGAAATCGTTTGCGGATTCGTTCACTTCGAGGAAAATTCAATTCATAGCAAAGAGTTGGCGCACACATGAAGTAATACAAATCAGTTAAATTCAGATTATTTGGATACTCCACTAAATCATGTTTTGGATCACTAGTGGCGGAACCGTTTTGTACTGTTTTATGCAAATCCTTTGACGTGAATGAGCGGCGCCGGGAATGGGAGCCGGCATTGGATAGCTTTTTGGCACTTCGTTTCCTGCACCAGTAGTTCACCATATGATAGGAAACCAACTTTAAACTAACTATAGAATAGAGACCACAGGCTATGGAAGCGCCGATAGGATTGCACGGAACGGAGTTTATGACAATCGGCGGCAGAGCCAGTATTGACAGGATGTTTATCACTACTACTGTCCCTCCAGACGCTTCCCTCCATTTATTGGCCGCGAAAATGTGTTCAATGATATAAGATATCAAAATAAAAATATTGGCACTCAGTATGAGCTGACACGACGGCCAGGCATTCGGCTTTCCGATGAATACTTTGATCCATTGGAACGGATCCACTAAAATGCCATACTTTATGATATTCTCGAGAGCGACCCTCGCGTTCGACAGCACCTGATAGTTAAGAATAGTTTAATTGGGATGTACCTGGACACTTGACATATTCACAAAAATTATTAACAAATTACAAGTAAAATAATGCAAAGATTGAGAAGTCCTCTATAGTTGGTGTAACCGCTCGAAGAACTCAACAGTGAGTCTTTGGGCTCATGAACTCTGCGAGAGATAACCAGAAGTGATAAACACAAGTGAATGACAACAACAGTATTCCCATCAACTCATAGATACGTACGGCTGGTCCGCCTGTTGGCGTCTGGCCTTCCTCTCGAGGTCTTGGATTTCTGAAAGTCTGGTCACACTATTGGGTCGCCGCCGAGGTTTCAGAAAAGTCTCGTTATTATTATTAATATTAATATTATTATTGTGATTATAATTACGAATATTTCGAGAACTCATTGCTAGATGTGTTTCCCTACTATTCCTATCAGTGTTTCCCTACTATTCCTATCACTCGAACCAATGCTATATTCACTCTATTTGTGAGTCTATTCTCCAAAAACTTAGTTCAGATTCAGAGCCAATAATCTTATCTTATTCTACAATATATGACATCCAAAGCGCACACTTTAAGAGCAAACATTTGCTTAATAGCCATAAATGAGTTCAACTTATGTTCACAACTTCTCAATTGATTATTAATTTTAACACCGATTTAGCACTTTTTCAGACACTTATTATCTCATAATGTGTTACAAGCAGACAAACTATAAGTAATACAAAACTAATGGATAACAAACTTTTAATATAAGGAATTATTGATTCCTAATAAAGGTTTTAAGATGTGAATTATTGAATTATTACTTAAAATGATTATTTCTGACAAAACTTCAGACAAAATACGACAAAAATATGAAAAATAAGATTTATTTGTTTAAGTGATGTGTAGTGAAAGTCAACTTCTTAAGTTTAAATCAATTGAAAACTAGTTTAGTATTATCAGATGATGTTTGCCTTGAAATAGAAAGGTATTCATAAGTTTGTATAATTCAATCACATTGATAATATTTATTAGCAATAATTACTTTCACTATCGATTGCTTTTGTATCTTTATTGATTGTATTTGAAATGGTGTTTAAATATTTATTTTCAAAATTATTTACAAAAATATTTAATTGTTAAACACTTTTACAGCAAGTAAAGTTATGAACAATAAAATTAAATGATCTTATTCATTATAGTAATACTGTATTGATAATACATTATAAAAATAGAAATTAGAATAAAGTTTAAAATTTTACTTGTAATGTATTATATTATTAATAGTTTTATGCATATAAAAACTGAATTTACATAGGTAAATATTTTACTATGTTGAGAATTTCTTTGGCAATGAAAAACTTTTTTAAAGTAAGTAGACATATGTCAAGAAAAATGTTAAAACTATTTACTATTAATATTATATCTTATTTGTTAGTTTGTATAAACCTTTATTTAATAAATTATTAAACTATAATAATAATAATAATAATAATATAAGAGACGTTTTCATTTTAAATTTTGTTTTACTTATTTTTTAATAATATAGTCTTAACTTTTTACTAAAAGTATGCTATGAATATAAAATTATTAGGTAAAATATAACTATAAGATCAATCTAATAAGTTTAGCAATAAATTAATATCTTACTGTTAATCCATTAAAAATAATTTAATTTTTCAACAAACACAAATCTGAAATCAGTTTTGAATATCAAAAAACTGGACAAAAATTCCAAAAACTTTTGATTTCCAAAAAAGAGCAAACTTACAACTATGGATATTAAAATATCTAGTACAGTAATACGGTACGAATAATTTTTATAGAATAAAAAATCTGCATTAAAATAGGTCTTTGAAATTAAAATGTCATCACCAAAAGTGTGATTAATTAGTTTCCTGATATTCAAAGATAATTGTCTTTTTAATAATTGTTGTCTTTTTGAATATTTGACAATATATTTTGTATATCCAATTATATAAATAAGATGATTGGGTGGCAAAAGTGGAACTCTATTTCCAAATAGAAGTTCAAATTCATCGATTAATATCTCAAATGATACATCATATCACTGTATATTTAATAAACAAAAAAATCAATCCAATTCAATGTTATATAAATAGTTATTTGAAATTCAACTCAAAACAAGTGATATTGATTTGATTTACAACAAGTGTCATAATATAGGCGTTTCACTAAATCGTTGAAAGTACAGTAATATTTAATAAAATTTTTATTGCAATATTGTTTAAAACTTATTACTAAATACATTGTTTATTAAATTTACTTTACTAACTTATCTTAAAGAATTTGCATAAAATTTTATTGATAATTAAACTCTATTTTATTGTAATGCAAACTTTACTTTACTTCTGTGTTTGGATGGCAAACTTGCATTGAATCAAATGTAGTATTGAATAGAATTCAACAGATTTTAATAAGAATTTATTAAAATGTATTGAAACCCAGAAAATGAGTAAATAATTCATAAAATTTAACTAAATTTATAATTAGATAATTTGTAATCAAATTTAAAACTAAATGACAAAATGTTTTGTAAATATATTCATATAAAAGACATTAGTATTGGTCTAAACGTAACAAACATTAGTTTTTGAGAATTCTCTTCATTTGTCTATTTTGGTGCTGAAGAGTGTCTTCAGCTCTCTCTGCTTTACCGGTGATGCGGTCCAGCGATTGGTTCTGTTCCTCGATCTCTGAGCCCAAACCCAGCGCTAAGTTCTTGAGTCTTCCCAACCCTAAGTCGATTTCAGAGAGATTTTGGTCCAGTTTGTGATCCACTTGTCTCGACCGCGACATCTGCTTCCCGTCTTGTCTTTCATTATCAAACTTGTCGTCCGTTTCGATACCTCTTTGCGTCAAAAAGGGATGATTGCGAGCGCTGTTAGCGTTGGCCTCATCTCTCATATTATCGATGGTATTACTCAACCGACTGTCCGAATGAATGGCCGGACGGACACTAATACTGCCATTACTTTGACTCTTATTAGCGATCGTAGGATTGGTCTCATTCTTGGAGAAGTAGTTCTTAAAACCGCCAAAAATACTCTTCATTGAAGTCAAATGCTTTTGAGAGACTCTCATAATGGAGTTCATTGAGTCCAACTTCTCCTCCACGTTATCCAACTGTTCCCTCTGTCGGACCAACTCTTCTGCCGTCTCGATACCCGTCTTCTCGGTCTCGTAGACCAAACCCAACGATACTTTAGAGCTCTCAAGAGTTCGCTCTTCGATGGCACGCCTTTCGGCCAACAATTGTCTCCTCTTGTCCTCCCATTCCGTGTTGCTATCAGTGGTGGTGTCGGTGTTGGCCAACATATACCCGGATGAGCCCTGACGGGGATGTCTCAAGAAAGTCATGTCGTCCACGTCCTCCACAGTCGAGTCCCTATTGTTGCCATTCGTGACAGGTAACGAGAACTCCATTCGGTACCACACTGATTACGAAGTCTTTGCTGTTATACGACTGTTTGTTCACTAAGTTACTATGCAGTTTACCATACTGTATATTCTGTAACTTACGTTAGTGTTCAGTATGGAAAACGTATTGAAATAAAGCAAACAAACACTCAATTCACTCATTTGGGGACCGATTGCTCATTGCGTGCAGTGTTTCACACAATGAGACACAGAGTGACGTCCAGTGAGTGAACCAATGGTTTGCAGTTATAGACCAATCGATCGACTAATGCTTTCAATGAAAGCTTCGTTACAATTGGTTTGAAATTGACGTCAAATCACTATCACTTGCATTGCATTCACCGCTCATTCAGTCGTCTGTAAGTCTCCTCTCTATTCACATCTCTTTGTCCATCACTTCATCACTTCCACACAATTGTCTCATTTGTGTCCATTAGATGCCATTCATTATAGTGATACAAATGAAAGCTTTTTTAAATCAAACATTTCATTTGTCTTTTGCTTATCATTAGAGAGCATGACTTCGGCAGCGATTGAAGTGTTTGTCCGTCCGATGCAATCACTGAACACTTCCAACGATCACAACATTTCCGGTGATTATTCATGTGATAGACTAGTCTTGAGTGAAGACCAACAGAGAGAAGGTGAGGACAAACTGATGCCACAAATGGTCTCATGAATGGTTTAACTCGGTTTCGGTGTCTATGCAGTGGTTATCAAACTGTTGGAAGAGTTGGAAGCGTTTGTAAACGAAGACAATTGCAATGAAATGAATTGCAATGATTTGATCTCAAAGATCTGTCATTGGATTAAATGGAAAGCGCGTCGTCTTGAAGAAGACGAGTCTTTCAGACAACAACTGGACGTGTATTTCAATCTCCTGAGGAATGTCTTGAGAAACTTCAAACTGAATGCTATATCGCGCGCATTGATACTGGAAGTGATTGAGTTGAGGGCCGCCAACTGGACTAATGTGGAGGACATCGACAGGTATTATCGCAACAAATTGTCTCAATTGAAAGCCAATGACACGTCGTGTGCCGGCAATGACTTGAGTCGCTCCAAGAGTTTGCAATCGTTTGGTCTAATGCTACCTAGTTTCCGAAGGGGTTTCAGTGGTTTTCAGTACCCTTTCTGTAGAGAATCTGTACTTCACCAGTAATCTTTGCCGCTGAGTCCTTTTCCATGCCATAAACTTAACCAAAAGTTACTAGGGCCGATGACTACAAATAAGTTAACTATATGTGTGGTAATACTAGGACTAGTGACCTCCACAATTTGTAAAATCGTTTAATATTTACAACACCATTATCACATACTTTACATATGTTTCATGAGTAAAATAGTGTGGAATTCACTACCCTTATTTTCCGGCTTCTCATCATATCTATCTTCTCTACTCAGTATGTCACTAGAGAAAGGTTTCTCCAAACAACTCCTAATGTCAATAGTAGCGAAGTATCCGAGAGTAACTAACCGAAGTTCGACAGTTTGTAGAGTGTTTACGTACTTTATAATGAAACTTATAAATGAATCCAACTTTTATTCATTAAATTAACACATTTTTCAAACTTAATTTATAATGATTTGCGTGAAAATAAATGTTAATCACAATCGATGACTCACTTTAACTTGAATATGCAATACAATGCCGTCTATTATACGCTCAAATGTTTGCTCATTTCTAACTGACTCACAACCAGTGCCTCCCGGAGCCAAAGAAAGAGTGGTTCAGATCATGGGTCCGACCGAAGAGAACATCGAACGCGCGAAGCATTTGATCGAAGAGACCATTATTAGGAACACATCGCCCGTCCCTTTCGAGTCATACAACAAACCAGCGGTTGATTTGGATATCAATCACAACCAGAAGAGTGAAGTGATTGCAAAAGAACGCTAACTGTGTTGACACTCTGGGCTTCGGGATATGCTTCTGTTTGGCCGGAAATGAAAGTGACAGTTACACCCGTTACTACACTAAGTCAACAGGTGATTATTGATGTCGTAACCATAGTTTCGGTTAGAAGTCTTACAAAATGAATTTTGCAATAAATCTGATCCAAAGGCTGATACTTATTGTGGCGATGATCTGAAAGAACAACAAATGGAAAACATGCGGACAAATGACAAACTCGAGGAACAGGTGATACCCGCAGATGAGTCGGAGTACTTGGAAACTGATCCAAAATTGGATACAATTCAAAGACAACAGTCATATGAGGGAAAGCTTCCCATCGGAAGAACTTCTTTGCGATTCATGTGTGACGTTAAGCCTAAACTTGATGTCAATGAGAAGATAGCATACGAGAGGGAATTCCTAATGAATTGCGCGGAATCTCCGTTGAGTCAAGTGATGGACGAGAAGGAGATCTTCAAAATTGAGACCAAAACACCTGATATTCTGCGAAAGAATGCCACTTCTGATGACTTGGAAGTCTGGTGATAATGCCATCAAATGGCACTCATTTATTGCATATGAATACAAATTATTTGATTTATAAATGATTATAAATAACATAAATATAAATAAATAAATAAATCTTAAAATACTTATTGCTTTGAAATGTTTGTAAAAATCTGATGAATGAATGGAAATAAAAATAATCATTAAATTTAGAAATACTGATCAAATGGGCGTTGATTTGGCGGTTAAAGAGGTGTCAAGATTTGGCAGAAAATAAGTCTTGAGTTGAGTATTAAGTCGTTTAATCTCTTCGTCGTATCTCTCCATACGTCTGACCGCAAGAGTGAATTGAATCACTCCTTCGCCACTCTTAGAGAAGCCATAGTTGGAGATGACGTCCATTAGGATCTGAGTGGCGATCGGGAACACGAACTGCATGTGTCTCACGGCCGACATCTGTGGTCGCAATCGGTGGCACTCTTCGTGACACGAGTCGGTCGGACGTCGTCCAGCAGATGACATCTTCGCGCAATTGGACGTCTCATTCATGGCTCGAATCACTTCATTCAACACCAACTTTGCCTCCGAAGCACTCATTTGTGGCATGGATTCGCTCGAAGACACTGAAGCCATTGTGTGGTCGACTCAATGTATTCCTCATGAGCTGTCACTCAATGGCCAATCCATAGCCCATCCATTGGATCCAAACACCACTTTCACCGCTAAAATCAACACAACTTCAGTTCAATCATAGATAACGTGACACCGAATAGTCGTTCACATATAACGTAATGATTACAAAGGGGTGTATTTTGTATACAGTGTAGGGGTTTATGTTTGCAAATAATGTAATCATTGAAATGAGGGGCAAATGAGGACTGATTCTGTGCTATTTAGTAACAGGAAACACTGCTTTTATTAAATAGTATCAAGATCATCTATTTACATGTTAAATAGTGAATCAATTTTAAAAAATTCGTATTAATTATAGCTAAAAATTTTCACATAATATTTACTAAAATTTCTTATAAATGATAATTTACTATATTGTATTTCTCATAAATAGTGTTGACTGTATTAAATACAAAGTGAATAGTTTATGAAATAAAATGCTTTTAAATAGCGAAACCTCATAGCGTTTATTGCGATAAAAAGGTACGATTTGTGTAATTATATTGAAAGCATAAGTTGTGTGAAAACAAGAGATAAACAAAAATAAATCGTTTTCATAATTACTGTTAAAAAAGTTTTGAAAACTAAATCATTAGAAGTGAGAAATAATTAATTCAATGAAACTATTGTTGAAAAGCGAGTCTTGAGATGAGTTCAGAGAAACTGGAGATCAGATACGATGGCAAAGAAGTGGTGTCTTTGGTGAAGTGGAAGGTGAGGTCGGGTCAACGGATCGGTCAAAGTGGTCAACAACTGTTCACTTATCGGGTCTGGGATTCAAACGACGGGCCCATCGGTAACACCATTGCCTTCAAGTGCAAGAATGTGGGACTCATTGTGGACCAGTTGGTCAAGAAAGAGGGCGATCTGGTTGTGCCCAACGATGTGATCATCGAATACAAGGAATGTCTTCACAACACAGTTATGAAGGAGTTGTGCGCCGATTGTGGCGCTAATATCAACGCATTGGATGACAGCCAACGCCGAAGAATAGCGGAACTCACGTCTGTATCAATGGTTCATTCAGTGCCCGAACTCCGGGTCAGCAAAGAGAGGGCCGAGACGTTAGGCAGAGCTGACGAACAGCGACTCCTGAAGGACAGGAAACTCGTACTACTCGTCGATTTGGATCAGACTTTGATTCACTCGACTAATCACAACATACCGGCCGATGAGCCGGACGTCCATCACTTCCAACTGTATGGACCGCACACTCAGTGGTATCACACGAAGTTGAGACCGCATACGATGTCGTTCTTGGAGTCCATGTCTAAGCTCTTTGAGCTGCATATCTGCACATTCGGTGCCCGACGTTATGCCCACACAATCGCTCACCTAATGGATCCCAAAGAACTGTATTTCCCAAAAGACCGAATCCTTTCGCGCGACGAATGCTTTGATCCCAATCTCAAGACTGGAAACATGAAGTCCTTGTTTCCGTGCGGAGACTCAATGGTCTGTATTATCGACGATCGCGAAGACGTCTGGAATTTTGCCCCTAATTTGGTGGCCGTTAAGCCTTACGTTTGCTTTCGAGACACTGGAGATATCAACGCCCCTGAGAAGGCTGTCGGCCCTCAAGGGAATCAAATGAGTGACAAAACCGATGCTTTGAAAGAGTTTACAAAAGAGGAGCGTTTGGATGGAAAAGAGGAGCAAATAAGTGAACAACAAATGGATGGCAAACAAAGTGTCGAAATCAAAGATACCACAGAAGAAAGTGTGGAAAAGACAACGAAAACAGAATCAGAGGAATCGAGTGACAAAACCCCTGAAGCAAGCGATGAGAAGACTATTGAGAAAATTGAATCCAAAGACCAAGAGTTAAAAAGTGAAGAGAAATCCGATACAAAGGAATTGCCGATTGAATCTCAAAAGAGTGTTCAATCGGAGAGTGAAATCAATTCAAACTCTTCTTCCAATGAAACAAACGACGAAAATATTGATAATAAAAGCGATAAGAATGTGACAAAAGAAGTGAATGAAAGGCATAAAGTGTTGAACGAAGACACCGACGATTATCTCTTATATTTAGAGGAGATATTGACTCGAATTCATAGTGAATATTATAAAGAATATGACGAAAAGATGAAATACAAGAGCGATTCCGAAGAGATTAAGATTCCGAACCTCAAAGAAATCATACCAAATGTTCGCAAACGTGTGTTAAATGGCGTTAATATAGTGTTCAGTGGAGTCATCCCCACGAATATGACACCAGAAAAGCATAAACTCTATGCTATCGGCAAAAGTTTTGGCGCAACCATGAGTACTGATGTAGTGGTGGACGGGTCGCCCAAAACGACTCATCTGATTGCCGCCAAATGGGGAACCGTTAAAGTGAACAAATGCGTCAAAGCAAAGAACGTATGGATTGTTAGCCCCAATTGGCTCTACTGTTGTGCCGAACGATGGGAACGGGTTGACGAACGCCTGTATCCTCTGGACCGAGAAGTTGTGAGCACTGAGAGGGATAAGTCATTTACAAAGCAAATGCCTGATCCTAATGTTGATAGAAAGCCAATTAGTCGTCCGACACCTGAAGCACCAGTTGTGGAAAGTTTTGCAACCTATGACCCAAAGACAGGCAAACGAATTCGACCACAAACTCAACCGGAGAACACTTTTTTAGACAAGAGTCCAGAGATGAGCGCAAAAGGCAGTGGAAGTGACGCCAATCAGCAGATGTTGGAACAGAGCCGTCAAATACAACCGCACAATATGTTAGACTTTTCGCCGCTCTCTGTGTTTAGTGTTAATGAGTTGCAAAGTATGGGCAAAGAAGTGGATGACGCGTGCAGTGAAGGTGACGCCATGAGCACCGGGAACACAGACAGTGACAGTGATGTCGATGAGACTGAAGGTAATAAAAACACTAAAAGTGAAAAACGAGTGCTCGAGTCGACGAGTGATGACAGCGAAGACGGAGAGTATCCGAAGGGTTGGAACCAAAACAAGAAGAAGAAAACGACTGAAAGGAAACGCATCGCAGAAATGGAAGAAACAAACGATTCGACCCGAGATTGGGATGACTTCGACAATAAACGTCTGAACGATGGCGAGGAGGAGTCCAGTGAAGACCAGTCCATCGGCTCTGTGGACGAAGAGATGGCTTTAGCCGTTGAGCGAGAGTTTCTCAGTTAGTCTTACCATAAGTTGAGTTTTTTATTTGGAAACTAAATCTGTATTAAATTTCATTTTTAGTATCATATTATACAATATTAATTCATTTAATTGTAAATCTTATGACATTTGAATAATATTTTAAATAACAATAAACTTAATTACAGTATAAATGCAATTAATGTTATATTTTGTGAAGATTTTGATAAAATGAAGTCAAAATTGGATAAAATATTTGTTTTATTTAAATTGAAAATAATTTAATAGTTTAAACAAAAATGTTTCGACGATTAAGAGAAAACTACAATGAATTGAAAAACAGTTATTCTATGGATTAAAAAGATTCACTTTAAGTGTCTGTTGAGGACATTGGATGAAGAGTTTGAATCACTATTAGTAGAGTTACTCATTCCTAACCCAATACATGCATCGCCCTTAAGAACGCCCACATTCTTCCAGTTCTCCAGATAATTGGCTATTAATTAGAAGAATATGTTAACAGATATGACCATAAAAACCGATAGAAGTATACCTTTCCAGAGGCGAACAGTGCCGTCATCTCCAGACGAGGCCAGAATAGTTCCGGTGATATTCCACGAGACTCTCCACACTTGCGACCCGTGGTCTTCAAAAGAGGCCACAATCCGGATGTCGTAACGATTGCTATCATTTTGTTGCGCCAATTGTCCCATTTGTTGGGCCACCGGTTCCTGAGGTGTCGGTGCGATCGATAGGATCTTAACGTCTTTAGTGGTGGCGACTCCCAGCAGATCATAGGAACGGCCGACGTTTGGCGCGAACGCAATGTCGTGAACGGAATCGTTGATGGGATGCGTGATCTCCACTCTTTGCCACGTTCTCAGGTTCTCATTGTATTCGTAAATCAATACTTTAGAACCGCTGTTATTGGTGTCATCGCTGCCGACGGCGATCATCGGTGACCGCAATCGAGACAGCGATGGATTCCACGTCAAAGAACTACAGGCTTTGTTGCAGACAATCTCGTACTGAACGGACCATTGGCTCACATTCATCACATCCGGCGCTTCATATATGCGGACGATTCCGTCGGAAGAACAGGTGGCCAACAGAAGACCCGCGTGTTTGGGCGCGAACTTCACGTCCGTCACCGACGTCCGGCTGTCCACAAAACTGTGTCTTTTAAACCAAACCGATTGATTGCGTTCTCCATTGTTGTTGTCCACGACTGTCACACAAACGTCACACTCAATGAGTCCACAAGAAGACAACAAACATATGACAAGACAATGGTTTTACTCATTTCCTCCCAAACGATGGCTGTCCTGTCGAAGGAACTCGTGGCCAGTATTTGTCCGAACTCTGGGTGAGCCCACGTCACCTTCCAAACGGATCCCGAGTGGGTCTTCCACGACGCCGTACACACCCATTGGTTGTCTTCGCCGATGTCCCACACCTATGAACACGAACGAGACAATCAGTGGTCACATGCGCTCATTGGTTCCCATTTGGCGCATACTTTCACACTTTGGTCCGACGAACACGTGGCCAGACGTCGGCCGTAGTAGTCGTAAGCGATGTCATGGATAAGGTCTTTGTGGTCGGCGTGAATGCTCCGGGTATTCATCGATTCAATGATTGAGTTCAATGCAAATCACTTTCAAAATCAGTTTCAATGCAGTCTTCAGTCTTCACTCAATTGTCTCAAAGCTTTTTGAAATGTTTTCACAAACTATTCGTATATAACGTTACCATAAATACATGTGTGGGGAGTGAATGCAAAAATACTTTACAATAGCGATCAATATTACTCGTTATACCGGCGTTGCACCACATTATGTAATACTCTCTTACGTAATGCCCTTATTTTTATACTTAAGAGAATTATGTGCAACACTACCTGGCTATAATTACCTTAATTTATTAATTTACTAAGAAATAGCGATTATCTGGGAACTAAATTATTCAATTGATTACTTCCAATGAATTCTTATAAAATAATTAAATTCTAAGTTTTTCGTGCTTTTGATATTAATATTGATTACTATAGTTATAAGAAATTAATATGAATTGAATTATTGACAAATGTTTATTTATCTAAATTTAGAAACTTTACACAAATAAATAATTTAAATACAATATTCAATGAATTTCAATGATTTGCATAAAATATATCGATAATGATATGTTAATCAAACAAATGAATAAAATTAAGATAACATTTCAGAAATGTATGAAAACTATAGTTTCTACTCATATCAACTTTAGAAACACTCAAAACTACTTATGAAATAATAAATTGGAAAAATGTATCCATTTTTGAAAATATCTAAACATTTATTAGTATTTCGGTGAAAGGAATGAATTGCATATAAACTGTATTAAGTTTTAAGACAATAAATGGCACTCAAAATACAGTCAATGAACAGTTTGTATATAAATTCATAATTAAAAACAAAAAATTCAAAGAAAATAATTAAATTACAAATAATTGATGAATGATTGTATGAAATGAAAAAAATGATTTTCAGATAACACGTGGAATAACAGCAAACAACTCAAGAAATTCACATTAATTCCGGGAGAGAATCAAAATGACTTCCAATGGCTTTCCATTGAAAATAAGGATAAAAAGGAAATATATTTGTCTTATGTTTGTGTCATTGGATCCAATAAATAGAAAAGAAATGATACAAAAGGTGTCGACATTCAGATCGACATACAGTAGAGTAATGTAATGTATATAATCTAATCAATGGTTTTTGACATCATATCCAAAGTGATCGCAAATGTGAGTCGTCGTGTCGGTGTGTGATGTCGGAGCCAAATGGAGTGACAAATGAGTCTCAATGGGAGTCACTCTCATCGTCGGCGTCGATGTGAGAGGACAACTGAAGGGCGTTGTCGGGCACCTCATGAGTGCCGTTCGTGGTCTGCAGGAAATTCATGTCAACCTCCGGGAGCTGTCCGTTGTGTGCGGTTCCCGCGTGAGCCAGGAAGAGGTCTTTGAGGAAATTGAGTTCTTTGGTCAAGATCTTGATCTTCGTCTCCAACATCTCGTTCT